TTGGTCTCACTCGGCAAAATGACACTGATGGCGTAGAAAGTGACTTAATTTGCTCTGGACGCTTTGCTGAATTAATATATGAAATAATACCACGAAGGCACTCGTGATATTATTTCATATATTAATTCAGCAAAGGAAGGTAGAAGAAATACCTTATAAACTGAAGCCATAAAAACCTAAGAACAACATATTTCAATCATTTTAAAGGAAAAAATGCACAGTTTACTAACATACCAGAATAAAAACTGAGCTTATAGAGCCGAGTAACATAGTGGATAATATATGTATATATATATATATACATATATTATATATATTATATATATACATGTATATATATATATGTGTGTTGTGTGTGTGTGTGTGTGATGTACCAGCTTTCGTCCGGAATAAATAGATCGGTGAAGAATCACAGATGTAGTCGAAGCTCAAATTATCAGACGATAAGTTTAAAAAACACGATCCATTTATTATTATTCAGGAGAAATAGCAGTTATAAAAACCATATCTCCGGAGTAAATAAAAAAATAACTACTAATAACTTTTTGTATGAAGTTTACTGCATCGTTACATTAAAGGAAAGTCCCCGATATTCCTTTGCGAGTCCTTTCATAGCCTCTGGAAAGGCGGAGCTTCCAAGAAATGACGTCAGCCATTCCAGTTCGCTTTAAAGTATCTCCAGAACATTCTATAACTGTACGTGTAGAAAAGAGCGGGAAAAACAACTTGACTACGGGGCTGTGAATTTAATGCCACGTACTTTCAAAAAAGAGACCGTCGCCATTAAAAAATGAAAAGAACATACAGTTAGAATTTTTAGTGTATTTTTGACTATGGATTTTTATTATTACATATATATATATATATATATATATGAGGGGGTTTATCACAATAGAAATGCAACGTTTAGAAAAGAAAATATACTTTGTTGCTTTTTTAAAGCAGCCTTTTTCCCTAGCTCATACCTAAAAATGCTTTCATGACAAAAATACAAGAAACGAAAAACACGAAAATGAGACAAAAGAAACATGGAGCGAATGCGTTGTAAAGAAAGCAAAAAATAATAACATTAAAAAAAAAAGAGAATTCTCCTGAGGGTAACTTAATAAATTAAGAGAATTTTTTTATTCTTTCTCGCCAACTAGCATTCAGAAAAACCATAAAAAGAAATAAAAAAATTACGGGTTCTGAAACAACAAACAATTAAGGAAATATTCCTTTTTATTGTGTTTTTTGAAAGAATAATTAACAGACAGAATCTTTCTGCGAAGCACGTACCCTGCTTGGAAAAAAGCAAATTCTTTTAAGTAAAACAGACTGCTTAAACTAATAACTAATGAGTCTAATTTACGTTTCAAGAATTCGATGGCAGCCTTACTCAAGTAATGAGGTAAAGTGAAGAAAAGAAAGCACTTCGTTTCCAAGCCAGCTTTTAAAATGCACATATCGAACTCTTAGAAACACTGTAAAGGAATTATTTAAGAGCATTGTTGTATTTGGAATAAAACAGATTATTTTCCATTCTTAAGTAATGTTTGATTCTGCGAAGTTCTTCACTTAATCAGGGTAGTTTCTTAAACTCTCTATGCACCATGTTTTTTGTATATAAAAATCTTTCTTTCTCTTTGGTTGTTTCCCATTTGTGTAAACTAAATTAAATGTGTCTCAAACATAATACAATTAATTAGTGTTTAAACTAATACCGTCTTTTGTTCAAATATTGTATCTTAAAAAGAAAAAAAAGATTCAATACTTGGGAATTGTTTGTATTCTGTGTTATTGGGAATTTTTCTCTTTGTTCCCCCCAAGAAAAGATAATTTATTTCAGTTTCATTTTTATGTAGAATCAAATTCATTTCAATTTCTCAAAGCGGAAGGTGGGAGAATAAGTTTTCTATTGTGTTTTTTAATTGAATAACATTTCATTACATTCCGTTTAAAATTGCATTTTCCTTCAATTGTAAAGCGACAAGAAATGGTCTTTTTTATGTAGCAATATATGCGGGATTATCGTAGAATTAATTATTTCTATCATTTCAAAATATTTATAATTAAAGTCGCACTCTGAATGAAAAATAAATTGGTTGAATCCATTTTATTTATTATTTCCATTAAGGTACACATGGGTAACAATAACACGCAAAGAAATTAAAATGGCCAATTTTAATATTCTTGAGAGTAAATTTTCCTTATTTTTTTATCACGCCTTTACATGTTTTACGCACATTGATCTGTAACTGTTACAGAAATAATTTTCTCTACCTTTCTTAAAAAAATATGATTTTTGTCTTGCAGACTATTTTCGAATAAAGTCATCAAATGACTTTAGACGATCAGCAGGTCTCTGATGATCAGTCCTGTTATGATTAGCAGGTCTCTGACTGTTCTCCAGTCAAATACCACCATGGTTAAATTTTCGACTATATCTAGCTTTTCAAGCTTAAATTCTTTCATCCTGATTTGAGGCTAGAAGTAATATGATAAATAACAATTCCTCATTAGTTCAAACTTTGCGCAAATGAAACCACCTAGCATCCTCCTAGTTGCGTTTAAGATAGAGGGGTATGAAGAGTTAAAGACATTCTTCCATCTACCGTTATCGTATAATTTACATTGTCAACGCTGTGGATAAATTGCAGAGTTTCCCGCCCTCTGTCTATGATGAAACGTCGAGGAACCTAGAGAACTGCGTAACAACTTATGGCTATTTTCAGGGAAATTAAGACGTAGAATCGAGAAGGGTTATATTAACCTCTTATTCACTCAAGAACAAAAGTCGACCCCTTCTCTGGCTAACAGTAAAGCGTTGCTAATGTTTCATCTTTCCTGTTTCCATAATACCTAATGTCTCTACAGTGCCGTTCGAACTGAAAGGGTGTTGGATGATAATTCTCGTCACCCAGGATTTGGCGATTGGATCCTCTAAAACCCCCAGTCGCCCTTTAAAAGGAGGAGTATATAAAGTATTTCTCCCGCTTTCTTAGCGAGCCTTCGTGGTGTAATTGTCTGCACACTCAGCGCGTCCTGGTTCGATTCCCGGCAAAGGCGTTGTTAATTTTTCATATTTCCTGCTTTCAAAAAATACCCAATGTCTCTACAAGCTTTACAATTAAAATTACAGTTTTTACGCAGAAAATAGGAATTCGGCCAGCGTGCAACAAGGCAGAATTTTCGTTGCGCAAAACTCAAAATTGAATTTTTTCCCACTGGGGAAAAAGACACTGAAGGTGCAGAAACTGACATATTTCACTATTCTGTTAAGTTTTAAATGTAGACAAATGACTATTTACTAGGCTTATCTCTCCACTTAAACTTCTAAATTGCTGATAATTCTATAACCATTGCATGCGGGTAAATTAAAGGCATAAAAACCTTAACCGGAACATAAAAACTACATAATTCAATCACATTTAAAGCAACAAAAACACAATTCACCAACACATAAGAATAAAAAACTAAATATACCGAGCCAGGTAACGAGAGGGAATATATATATTCATATACATGTAATAATAAAATTCCATAGTCAAGAATGCACTTAAAATTCTAACTGTATGTTCTTTTCATTTTTAATGGCGACGTTCTCTTATTTGAAAGTACGTGGAATTAAATCCACAGCCCCGTAGTCAAGTTGTTTTTCCCGCCTTTTTCTACACGTACAGTTTTAGAATTTTCTGGAAGTATTTAAAAAGCGAACTGGATTGGCTGACGAGGCTGACGTCATTTCTTGAAATCTCCGCCTTTCCAGAGGCTATAAAAGGACTCGCAAATGAATATCGGGGCTTTTTCTTAAGTGTCACGATGCAGTAAACTTCATACAAAATATTATTAGTAATTCTTTTTATTTACTCCGGATATCTGATTTTGTAACTGCTATTTCTCCTGAATAATAATAAATGGATCCTGGTTTTTAAACTTATCCTCTGATAATTTAAGCTACGACTACATTTTATGATTCAACACCAATCTTTTATTCTGGACAAAAGCTGGTACATCACATACATATATATTGCTTTCTTACGAGTTCGTGGATTTGGAGTGATTAACGACAACTCGTGATGAAGAAACAAAATACAATTTAGTAGCTCAAGACAGCTCCAAAGTCGTCGAAAAGCTACGACAAGCACGATGAAACAATCAGCAACACAGGCTTCAGGCTATCAGGCTATAACGGTGAAAACAGCTTCACGGCAATGCACTGGAGTACAGCTCCCGACGCGGTTCCCTCGTTCTCTAAGCTCAATATACTCTCGAGACTGTCTACGCCGCAACTCCCGATGCATTTGACGACACACTCGCGATAGACTCGACGATGCATTATATCGCGGCACACAGAGCGACTTTCTCAATGCACACAACAACGAACTCGACACTAGACTGACGATCAGTTCGATAGATAAACTGCTACTTTAAGTACAGGGGCAGGGTTCTTATAGCTTTTGGGGCTGCCTTCGAGAACATGCTTAGCCAAACCGTTAAGAATTCGTTCTAGAAGGTTCTCCATCCGTCTATGGCATATCACCAATTTTGTCGCCCAATGGGCGATTTCGCGTCAAATCTGGCAACCTTCCTTTCCTTTCCTTTTTCTGGCAACCCTAAATTGATTTGCGGATAAACTATCTTATCGCGTGGTGGACATTTCGTAACAATATATATTTATGTACGATTGGTGGAGCCGATTGCAACAAAACAGGTAGGTTTACAACTGCTAGTTATAGCAATCTCATATGCAAAATTTCAACATTCTACGGCTACTCGTTCTTCAGATATGCGAGATGAATACATACTTACGTACGTACAGACGTCAAGAAAAAAACTTTTCTGAGTCCATTTTAAATGAAATTTGGATATTTCCGTTGCAACATGATACCTGGAATTTTTTGCGACTTATACTTCATTTACTTCGTACAAGGAAGTAAAACACAAATAATTAGCAAATAATACCTTATCTTGTAAAGAAATCGGGTTTTTTGGAAGCAGAAGAGATGAAAAATGAGCAATGCCTTCGCCGGGACTCGAACCAGCGACCACTCGAATACTCGTCGAGCGTGCTGACCACTTCACCACGAAGGCATGCTAAGAAGACGAACCTTATATATCCCCCTTTTAAAGGGCAACTGGGGCTTAGGGGAGGCAATCGCCAAAATCCTGGTGGTGGAGCATCATCATCCACCAACCTTTTAGTTCAGGCGACACTGTAGACATTAGGTGTTTATTAAAACAAGAGACGACGTGAAAAATGAGCAATGCGCTTTCCGGGACTCGAACCACGGACCTCTCGAATACGCGTCGAGCGTGTGCTACACCACGAAGGCATGTTAGGAAGGTGGGAGAAATATTTTATATACTCCTCCTTTTAAAGGGCGATTGGGGAACACTATAAAGGCATGCTAAAAAGGGGAACGAAATATGTTATAATCTTTGTACTTCTTGTTCTTCAGCCCTTTAAGGTAATATCACTTCAACTAACTTAGGGTATCATTCTAAAATTAGCCAAAATTAGTATCTTCTTTGAAATTAATATCTTTGTTATAAATAACAGAAAGAAATATCTACATCTGTTTCTAAGAATATATTTATTTCCTGTTGAAATAAAGAAATAAATAGGATATATTTCCTCTTCATTATTGCTACCAAATCCCTCACTGCATAATAAATATTTAATAAGAATGCATATATAGAAATAAGATTTAACATTATTTCTGTATGGCGTTATGATAATCTGTTTCCCTTTTCTATCGCTTCTAAGAAGCTACAGAGTATGTAATAATAAGTCTGGTATTAAAGTTTGATTCGCTAGAAACATAGAGTGCAATTTAAAGGGAAAAAAATCAAATGTGGACTTATAGAGTAATCTGTCAACACAATTTCACAACCTATTTACTTTAATACCAAATCTTCGTAACTGTAGTAAATCCTGGAAAATACATCTTATTCTATAAGAGCAATTTTACTGCAAATGAGTTTTTTTAAGTACTTAAAGAATTCCTACGTTTTAGGTTATAAAGCGAGCATTCAGTTGAACGCCGGAACATTTTTTCCACTATAAAATGAGCGCAAAATCCTTAAATCCTTCAATTTTATGGAATTTGGTTCTTGGTTTTCATTTGATGAAAGCAATAGTAAAGAGAGAACAGATTCTATTCTCACTCAGTTCTGAGAGCTTTGATTTTAGTAGATTCATTTTTTTAAAGAACTCTAAGGCGTCAATTTTGCTGCGTAAAGCAAAATGCTGCAACTTTCGATAAGAAGGAAGCTAAATTATTGTTCTGATAAGCTTAGTTTAAGAACAAGCGGTACTTTAAAATAGAACTCAAAAATCTCATTTCTTTCAGCTGCAGAAAATAGCGTAACAGACACAATAAATTCGTCTCATTTAATTGAATTTGAGCTGCTACCTTGGGTTTTATTTTTTGTTCGAAAATATGATAAAAGCATTTAAATAGCATCTCAGTCAATTATTTGAAATAATAAAATATTTTATGCCATAAATTTTGATTTTGTAAGAAATGATTTGAAAAGCTAAAGTAAACGTAAATTCAGAACAATTAAATTTATAACGTATTACATGCTCTGCTGATATAAAATGTATTAAAACTTTGAAGACTGTTTGGTGAATTATCCATACGCCCTTATAGTATTGCAAAGTCATGAGAAAGAACCCTTTATTAAGTGGCTCGTCACAGAATTCTAATAGCTGGAGAATTAAAAATTAGCAATGTGGCCTTCAGGCAGCAAGAACACGCTCTGATTTGACCTAGTCTGTATACAGATTTGTTTAGCACTCTTTAGCATTGATTTGCATTCATTCCAGAAGATATTTCGCGCACTTTATTACTGAAATGTATTTACAACTAAAATACACTTACTACTGAAATGTACTGTTTATACTATTGAAATGTAATAATTAATCTTTCAGTAACCTTCTAACTCGTATTTCGTATGGTAATTATAGTGTGTTGTGTAACTTGTATGTAGTATCTTGAATGCCATTATGTATACTATGCCCTTGAATGTGTTTGCTCTAGAATATCAGTAATATGTTAATCCAGATATGTATTTATTGTATTTTATGTTGTAGTTCACATGAATAACGTTGTTATCAGCAGTCTGTACATAATATTGTAATCTGTAATTTTATGGCAACTGCATTGTATCATTTAGCTCATACTATCCACAAGTCATATAGGTCGTACAAACTGTCCAACATATATCCGTATCAACATATATCCGTATCAACATATATCCGTATCAATATATATCCAACATATATATCAACATATATCCAACACATATCTCTATCAACATATATCCAACATATATATCAACATATATCCAACACATATATCAACATATATCCAACATATATATCAACATATATCCAACATATATATCAACATATATCCAACATATATATCAACATATATCCAACATATATCCAATATATATCCAACATATATATCAACATATATCCAACACATATCTCTATCAACATATATCCAACATATATCTCTGGTATAACATAACTATTGCGGATGTCGGCTGGTCGCATAACATTCAATATATGTTAAATTGTTTATATCTTTTTTTTCCTCTCTCCCCCAAGATATAAATACTCCTGCTGTTAACATCGTTTCATGCCCTAATGGTAACACTACATAAATATGCACATATATTAATTTTTCAACTGTAACATTGCAATCTCTTCTCATATAGCAATCGCACCCTATAGTAATTTGCAAATTATTTATTAGTTATGCATGACTGAATATTCCATTGCTGCACTTTGCTCTGTGTATTACATCCGCATTTCTGTATTGAACTAGTGTACTATTTTTATTTTATATGTCACATAATATGTGCACGTATATTTAGTATGCGTATGAATATGTACCTCTGGTATAGCGTCACTTGCGAAGGTGGTATGGACGCCCAACAATCTGTAAATATTACATATGTTATATAGTTTATATCCTATTCTTCTAGATGTAATTACTCCTATATACATTGTACCATGCTTTATTTGTAATACTAGTTACATATGTTAATGCTGCTCTAGATAATGGTGGACGTGGTGCTGTATTGATTAACCATTATGGTAAAGGGACAGTACCCACGCCCTCCGTCACTTATCACTTATCTGATTTGACCTCCCGAAACCTTCCCTTAAATGCTAACTTTTTTCTTACATTATTTGAGTACACTCGCGCTAGTCAACTTGCATTCTGGTAAAAAAAAGTGTGAGTTGAAAGCAAGAGCGATAGGAAAGCTGCTTAAAGATAAAATAACTGTGAAGTAAATTAAATAAATCCTGATCACAATCTGATTAATTCATTTCGCAAAGAATTTTCGTGCAGGGCAGAGAAACTGGATCGTGTTTACTACTTCATTTCACGAAGTAAGGAAGTATTGTAATCACGAAAAATTCCCGGTTTCGACGGAAATGTCCATTTTGAAAGCTATCGAATGCAATTTAACGATGTTTTTGCGGGACATCTGTACGTAAGGACAGAATAAAAGACTCTTTTCCTAAAAAAAAAAAAACAGAAAACTGCTTTAAAATGAATTCTGAAGAGAATTTTTCGTGGCGTCTGTACGAACGTATGTACGTACGGCAAAAGAAACTGTCGCTGGCATATACGTTACACACGTGGTGTGTGTGTGATTATGGCAAAGTCTCGAGGGCTATCTGCCTAAGGGGAGGGATGCCTTCGTGGAGGACTTTCTAAGGGAAATTGGCTCGTATACACGTTACACATGGGGAAAACCACGAAAACGCCCATGCAGCCAGCCCGTTCGCGGGATTCGAACCTCGGACCGAACTACCAGTGTTCAGCGACTTACCGCTCGGCCGGTGGTGGGCCCCGTTACACACGTGGAAAATGAGGAAAATGACCATGCAGCCAACCCGTTCGCAGCCTCGGACCGAACTATCAGTGGTCAGCGCTTGACCGCTGGTAGGCCCTGCTACTATACGTAATTTCAGAAAATTACGCAAACGTTGCAAGCGCTTAAATTTCGCAAATTACCTTAAACACTTTTAGATAAACTGTCGAGCCTGTCATAATAAAAATAAAATTAATGTAAACAAATAAATGTAATTTAACAACGAACTATTAAGTTAATAATCACTGAAAGTACATAAAGACACTTCTGATTTAAAGTTCAGCTTCAAAAACGTATATACTTTAATGCCTTTTATTGAAACGAAACATCGAGGAAAATTTTAAGATTCCCAGTACTTAAAATAGAAGTATAAATCCTTTCAGATATCATTTCTTTGATTCATAGAAGTATTTATCTGTAATACCTGTCACTTCTAAGCTCAAAAGCTCAGTCTCTTTTCACATATTACGAAAGGTGAAATCAATCCCCCCTTTGATCCGAAGACACACGAAAAAAGTAGTCCACACACTTTTCCCGCAATATTTCGGGCCTTATGAAGTCCTTTCTGCTTCCCTTCAGATGCCAGTTAGTTTCTGATCTCTTCAGGTATGATCATCTAAGTAATCTTATTTTCAGCTCAAAACTTATATTGCAACCGCCCTTTCTTTAAAAGAAACTCGTTCTTTTGTTTTGACCTTCCAGTTTAAGAAATGGATTTATTAAATTGATATGGAATGGAAGGTTTAAGCCATTCCGAAGCATTATTAATCGGATTTTACTCTTGAAGAACAGAAATATAAATTTAAAAACTTTATCCCTAGTGGTAACTGTGAAATATGAGATAGGTTAAAACAGTTTTCGAATATGAGTCTAAATTTTGTACTAGATTATAGGCTGTCCGTGTTCAAATCGAACTTATTTCCAGCTTTCATCACTAAGAAGTAATTTATAGTTTTAAAATTACTATTATCACAAAATATTGTTAATAAAATCGTATCTATAGAATTTCCGATAGACTGCTTCCGGAGCTGGAGATGAAAATGTTTTATTCCATACAGTAGTGCCATTGTTCGCTTTGAAATCGTTGAGTGTGTTAATAAAAAATTCGTTAAAGTTTTACAAAATATGAAATGGACAATAAAGCAAATTCCAAATTCGAGCTTCCATTTGTCCATATTCGGGTGGAA